TCCAGATATTTCAGGTTCTTGCCTCACAGAAGTGTAGTTAAACTTTTTTGGCCCAAAGATGTCGTATTGGTAAAAGGATCAAAGGTTCCCTTCACTTTCTGAGTCTCAGACCAGTTCTCCGTTTAAAATGCTGTCCCCTAACTAAATTTTAATTTATATTCTTAGTCTAAAGGTTGTGAATGTTTCTTTTGGACCTTCCTATGCTCTAAACATGGCTACATTTAGACAATCAAATAATGTCCTCTAACAAAGACAAAATGATTTTGCAATTGTAAAATCCTTATTTTAAAAGAAAATCGGTCTTTGTTTTCCCATTGTATTTAAAAGATTATTAAATTCCAACATATGCTGAACTGAAACAACATTTGGAGTGAAGTAACTGGAAAAAATAAACTTTCATTCACCTCTGGCTCCCTCACTAAATCCAGGCTCAACCACTTACAGAAATAATTGTGTGTGTGTGTAAAGGGGTAGCCCTGATATCCGAATAGCACTTCCATTGTTTGCAAGACTCTAGCTATGTCTCAGTCATTTAGCATCTCTGGTGACTAATCATATGAAGGAATGTAACTTTTGTTAGCTTCCATTATGTCCTTGGGCACAGATTAATCCTCTCAAACATATCTAGACTTCCAGAGCCTCTGGACCAAGTAAGACAGTAATTCCCCGGAAAGAAAATATTGGCTCAGTGTAGTAAGGATGGAAAAAACAGGTCCACTTTTTTAAAAAGCTGGGTATTTTCAATTTAGTCAAAGTGAACCATGATCTCCCTCTAGTGATCAAGGTGAGTAACCACCAGAATATCTTGTATTCCTTTTTTATTGTTTTTAATAGGCTATTTATTCTCTTTTAATGAGTTGGGATGTGTTCCTTTGTCCTCTGTTTTTTGTTTAATATTTTATTTATTTACTTTTAGACAGATGGGAAGAGAGAGAAAAAGAAGGAGAGAAACATCAATGTGTGAGATATATCAATCTGTTGCCTCTCACATGTCCCCAACCGGAGACCTGGTCCAAAACCCAGGCATGTACCTTGACTGGGAATCCAACCTGAAACCTTGTGGTTCATAGACCAGTACTCAATCCACTGAACCACACCAGCCAAGGTTAATAGGCTAAGTTTTTAAGTGTAAAGATATTCATATTTATCCTTAGCAACTAAACACACATGCACAGACACAAAGCATAAAGATAAGTCTCTTTTTATTTCTCTACAACAAGATCACAAGATTGTGCATAGAGCAGGATCAAAACACAGACAAATTATGGGACTTCTGGCCAAGATGGAAGGGTAGGTAGATACACTTTGCCTCCTTGCACAACCAAAAAAGGACAACTAATTTAAAAACAAAAACAAGCAGAACTGACAGAAAACCGAACTGTATGGAAGTCTGACAACCAAGCAGTTAAAGAAGAAACATTCATACAGATTAGTAGGAGGGGCAGAGATAGGCAACCGAGGCAAAGAAGACACATGGCAAGGCAGCAGCTGAAGGAGGAAGAGGCTGAGGTGGCAGCTGGTAGACTGGGTGATCCCACATTTATATGCAGATAAACTGGGAGGAACAACTGGGGGCTGAGACAGACTTTGCAACTCAGGGTTCCAGCCAGGGGAAATAAACTCCAAAAACCTTTGACTGAAAAAAACTGTGGCTGTTGTAGCAGCGGAAAAGACTCCCAGCGTCACGGGAGACTTTGTGAAGAGACCCACAAGGCCCTAGAAAGTACACAAAACCACCCACCCAGGAATCAGCACCAGAAGACCATAATTTGCTTGTGGGTAGTGGCAGAAGTAACTGAAAGCCCACGGAGATCTTAGCAAGTGGCATTGTTCCCTCTCAGACCCCTCCCCCACAAATAGCACCACAATGCAGTAAAGTGGGTTGCCCCACCCTGGTGAATACCTAAGGCTCTGCCTTTATAATGTAACAGGCACGCTGAGACAAAAAAGTGACCCAAATGAAAGTACAGATCAAAGCTTCAGAAAAAATACAACTAAGCTATGAAGAGATAGCCAACCTATGAGATGCAAAGGTCAAAACACTGGTAATCAGCATGTTCACAGAATTGGTTAAGTATGATCACAAAATAGAGGAAAAAGTGAAGACTATGAAAAATGAAATAAAGGAAAATGTATAGGAAACCAACAGTGACAGGGAGGAAATCAGGATTCAGATCAGTGGTTGGGACAAGAAGGAGAAAATAAACATTCAACCAGAACAGAATGAAGAAACACAAGAATTCAAAAGAATGAGGAGAGGCTTAGGAACCTCTGGGACAACTTTAAACGTTCCAACATCCGAATCACAGGGGTGCCAGTAGGAGAAGAGGAAGAACAAGAGGTTGGAAACTTATCTGAACAAATAATGAAAGAAAACTTCCCCAATCTGGTGAAGAAAATAAGACTTCCAGGAGGTCCAGGAAGCTCAGAGAGTCCCATATAAGTAGGATCCAAGGAAGCACACACCAAGACACCTCATAATTACATTTCCCAAAATTAAACATAAGGAAATAATCTTAAAAGCATCAAGAGAAAAGAAAAGTTACTTACAAAGGAGTTCCCATAAGACTATCAGCTGATTTCTCCAAAGAAACCTTACATGAAAGAAGAGGCTGGAAAGAAGTATTCAAAGTGATGAAAAGCAAGGACCTACATCCAAGATTACTCTATCCCGCAAAGTTATCATTTAGAATGGAAGGGCAGATAAAGTGCTTCATCACCAAGCCCTTATTATATGAAATGTTAAAGGGACTTATCTAAGAAAAGGAAGATTAAAACTATGAACAGTAAAATGACCACAAATAACTATCAACAAATGAACCTAAAAAAACAAAAACAAACTAAGGAAACAACCAGAACAGGAAGAGAATCACAGAAATGGAAATTGCATAGAGTGCTATCAGCAGGGAGGTGGAGAGTAGAGGATGGGGGGAAAGGTACAGGGAATAAGAAGCATAAATGGTAGGTATAAAATAGACAGGGGGAGGTTAACTATAGTGTAGAAAAGGGAGGAGCCAAAGAACTTATATGTATGACCCTTAGACATGAACTTAGGTGGGGGAATGATGGTGGGAAGGGGGGTACAGGGTGGAGGGGAATAAAGAGGAGAAAAATAGGACAACTGTAATAGCATGATCAATAAAATATATTACAAACATTCTCTGAAGCCAAACACAGCCTCTCACAACAGTGCCAGCTGGTACACTGATACAGATGGGTTCCTAGAACACTCACCTTATAAGGGAAGCATATACTACAAGGGGACTTCCAGTGGATAATTCCAGATTTTTTAGGGTCCCCCCATCTCATATATATGTATACATGAGAGCTGTCCCGAAAAAGTCCAACTATTGTTAATATAATGTCAATAGTTTGCACGACATTGATGTAAACTGGCAGCCAAGGACAGTGGACTGGAATGAGCATGCATAAACAATGACAACTTCACTGTACTAGTCAGTGGGGGCAATTGATGCTCTTAAGTGAGCATGTGTACTGTGTGGCTGTCACCTTCAAAATGACTGAGCAAGTAGAGCAATGAATGAACATCAAACTTTGTGTTAAGCTTGAACATTCCTCCACAGAAACTATTTGGATGATTCATTCAGAAGGCCACAGCTATGGGCAACTGGTGATTGGCAGCTTCATTGCAACATGCCCACTCATGCATCAAATCTCGTGTAGAATTTTCTGTTGAAACATCAAATCACCCAGGTGACTCAGCCCCACTACAGCCCAGATTTGGGGTCCTGCAACTTCCAGCTTTTCCCAAAACTAAAATCACCTTTGAAAGGGAAGAGATTTTAGACTGTTGATGAGATTCAGGAAAATACAACAGGGCACTGGTTATTGGGAGAACTATGTGAGGTCCCAAAGCCTACTTTGAAGGAGACTGAGGTGTTGTCCTATGTACAATGTTTCTTGTATCTTATTCAATAAATGTCTCTATTTTCATCTTACATTGCTGTATACCTTCTGAACAAACATATCTACATCATCTATACACATGTATACATGTATATTATATATATGTTTCTCTATGGGCAATTACAATATTGGTCTGAATCTTTAAAACACATTATCATATAGGTAGAAACCCAAGCGACTTTTTATATCTGGCTGTGTCCAGCTGGAACGTAGTCTGATTAATGAACTTCCTAACCTTAAAGACATTAGCTAGGGTCTCTTAATTATCCGTCTACAGAATATCAGGAAAATAATTCTAGGGTACTTTTAAGTGAGACTTTCTTATTAAATTTTTATTTATGGTTAGTGTCATTTGATGGAGAGACTGATGAATGAGAATAGAATGTTAGAACTAGAAGGGACCTTGGAGGTCATCCAGTGCCCAGCTCCTCATTTAAGGGGCGGGTAGGGGACGGATGCACAGAAATGTTAAGTCTTGCAGAAAATCAACTAATTAGGAAGTGAAAGTGCCTAGACTACAAGCAAGTTCTCCTGAGTCCTAAATTGGTCACCTGGGAGGATGGAGAATTGAAATACTTAAAAGTAAGTGTCACATAGCATAATTGAAAGTTTTAAAAACATCTCTAAGCCCTGGCTGGTGTAGCTCAGTGGATTGAGCACGGGCCTGCAAACCAAAAGATCACGTTGTGATTCCCCTTCAGGGCACATACCTGGGTTGCAGGCTAGTTCCTAGCAGGGGCCAGTTCCCAGCAGGGGATGTACCAGAAGCAACCATACATTCATATTTCTCTCCTTCTCTCCTTCCCTTCTAAAGATAAATAAATAAAAATTATTTTTAAAAATCTCTAAAGATAACATACATCAAATAGAAAATAAGACTTAACTATGATTTTGAGTACACATTTGAAGGTACACAGAAACAGCTGCTAAAGAATGTATATCACGAATTAGGGAGGGGTTGCCAAATTCAAATGAAATTTTTCTACTATGTACTTTTGAAAAAATCTAATTATGTCAGTTTTCATGGAAACTAATTTAAAATAAAATGCTATGCATTTTTCTCAAGTTTTGATTTGGCATTCATTGCTTATCCAGAAGCCCTAGCCCAACTCCCTGGCGGGCCATTTTGGTCCATATTATTTTTCTTCATGCTGTTGACTTTGGGTCTTGACTCTCAGTTTGCTTCCATTGGTAAGTAATGCTTCCAGTGTTAACCCATCCCTCTTATATTGCATTCATGTTTCCCCTACTTAAAAACATTATTTTCTTAACCCCTATTGCCCCTCCTATGTTTTACTCTAAGAATAATCTTTCTAAAACTTCTTTTTAGCCCTGGCTGGTGTGGCTAAAGTGGATGGAACACCGGCCTGTGAACCAAAAGGTCGCTGGTTCCATTCATAGTCAGGGCACATGCCTGGGTTGCAGGTCAGGTCCTCAGTTGGGTTACCATGTAGTGATGTTCCTCTCCCTCTCTTCCCTTCTCTCTAAAGTTAAATAAAAAATCTTTTTTAAATTTAAAACATTCTTCTTAATAAATTTAAAAAATAGAAAGTAGTCATGAACCAGACACCCAAAATGAGCAAACATTAATATTTTACCATATTTGCTTCTCACATTTTTTAGAAAAATAAACTGTTACAGATGAGTTTAAAGTATCCCATGCTTCTCTCTCTAGTACCATTCACATTTCTCCCTTCCTAGAAACAAACATCACCATGAATGATGCTATCCAGTCCAGGTTTGAATACGTGATATAATGTACCCATAAATACCATGAATATTAAATGCTCCCATAAATGTGAAATTTCACTTCATACACACCATCCCGACAGTTGTTTTTTAATGTATTATCAACACACATATGACTATGTGTTCATGCATAGACATAGAGATGTAGCTAATTCACGATCTGTTGCTGTGATGACAGAGGCACTTGGACCATTTCCAGCTTTGAACACTTGCACACACAGCTGCACTGACTGTTCTTTACATGGCTCTGTGTACACATAAGAATCGTCCTTACGGTACACACTTAGAAATTCTGAAACTGTTTTTATTGTATTATCCTCTTACATAAAACATTTTACTTAGTTTTATTTAAGCATTTTTTCATCCTCACCTGAGGACATTTGTTCATTGCTTTCAGAAGGAGAGAAAGGGAGGGGGAAAGAGAGAGACAGAGAGAGAGAGATCGATGTGAGAGACATCGATTGACTGGTTGTCTTCTTGTACCTGTGCTGACCGGAGACAGACCAGAAACCCGGGTATGTGCCCTCACTGGGAGTGGAACCGGCTGCTACCTTTCAGTCTATGGGCGAGGCTCCGAGCAACTGAGCCACACAGGTCTGGGCACATGAGACATTTTAACAGTTTACTGTTTATAGGGTAAAGTCCAGCCTCCTCTAATTGATTTTCCAAGCCCTCAAATATGTCAAACGCGTTTCTTAGTCCTTTCACTCGTATGTTTTTCGACCTTTAAGCCAGTGCCTGTTTCATGAACACATTTATTTCTTAAACCTGGAAGGCCTTTCTGTCTCCATGTCATTTATTCAAATGTTCACCTTTCTGGAAAGATGTACTGGACTTCTTCCTTTCCTATAACTCTTTCAAACTGCCTCAGCCCTCAGGGACCTGTTTCCTTACAGTTGCTACCAATGAAAACCCTTCTAAAACAGACTAAAACTGACAAATCCAGCTGCCTTTGATTTTGATCAGAGTTGATGAGTGGTGCCTGCCAAGAGGAAGGACTCTGTGGCTCTCAAAAGCAAAGAGCAGGGCCCAGACTGTATTCTCAACATATATTTGTAATTTCATTAACATAAGTTGAATTCTGTGATTAAACTTATTGGCAAACGAGTTGACATAAAACATGCTATTTTTTCCCTTCTGAAGAAACGATCACAACAACAATTCAAGATTTATTTCCCAAAGTGATGAAGAAAATGAGGGTTCCTATAACTTTGGGTTGCTGCTTGGTTTTGTTCCTCCTGGGTCTCGTCTGTGTAACTCAGGTATACTACCGTATTTTTTATAGACAAAATATTACTTGGAATAATTATCTATATCTAAATGAGAAACTCTAAATTGACATTCTATTAGCATCTAAATGAGGAAACCAAGGTTTAAGAGGATGTTTCATGCATGACAGGTCCAAGTCTGACTTGGACCAAGGTTTCCTGAGTTTTAGTTCAGGCTGTTTCCCTCAATAGCACAATTTCGAGAGTAAGTATAGTTTGCAGAGGGGGAGGAGGCCCCATAACAAGCACTTTCCTCAAACACAGGAACATTATAGACTTTAAACATACACTCTATCTTGGACGCTACTACACAATGCACAGATACTGCCTATCATTTTGATGATTAACTATCTGACTCGGCACAGAATAAAAGATGCATTATTTTTTAGACAATTAAATCCACATCTGTATTCATATTTGAAAGTATCCCTTTTCCTATTTTTCACAGAGATGAAACCAATGAGCATATGTTAAAATCAAATTAATAAATTCAATTTGAATGTTGAATCAATCATAAAAAATAATGACAAATTGTACTTAGAAGTAATTGATTTTTTAAATTATTTTATTGTTCAATTACAGTTATCTGTATTTTTCCCCACCTGTCCCTCCATGATTTTTTTTGATAGGCTGGGATTTACTGGGTTAATCTGATTGACCACTTCTGTGCTGGATGGGGCATTTTGATTGCAGCTATACTGGAAATAATAGGAGTCATCTGGATTTATGGTAAGTTGTGACTATAGACTGATCTATGCTTCTTATTAAAATAATTTAGTTTGATCATTTCCACTATGTGCACTGTAATAATAAATTACCATACAACTGGGCAAAATACATTATGAATACAGCGTAAAGGTGTATGCTTTGTTCCTGTAGTATAGGGAAACGTTCTGGCAGAAAATTTGGAGCCACAATGATTAATGGAGGGAATACGAGCAAAGACTGAATGCACTGTTTGTCCATTGCTTTGTTAGGAGGGAACAGATTCATTGAAGATATAGAAATGATGATCGGAGCAAAAAGGTGGATATTCTGGCTCTGGTGGAGAGCTTGCTGGTTTGCCATTACACCTATTCTTTTGATTGTAAGTAGTAATATGGTATGGATTTGGTGTCAATGATATACATTGAAACATTTCTAAGATAAACTTGAATAACTCACATTGGAGACAATAAGGCAAAGTAATGTCATAAATTAATGATTTTCAATGTCTGCTTTATGACTAGTGCCTCTGAGTTGCCTAAATTAAATGCCTCGGCAGTATTAGTTTTGAGGCCATGGGTTTAAACATTTACTATTTGACAAAGTGAACAGCCCCTATAGACTTAAATTTCCCACATATGTAAGAATTACCAGTAGGATAAATCAATATAAATCACTCGTTTGCTCATTCCCTAAAAAATATGCCAGTTACAGAAAACGCAAATATGTGCGTGACCAGTATTCTGCCTTCATGGAATTCAATCCAAATACACGGGTTGCTAAGAATCAACACTGCTATTTTAATGCATAGTTTTCTCTCTGTAGGAGGTACTTACTATATGATATTACCAAAAGGAGCTCAGCTGTGTCAGTAGAGACAATAGGTTATGTCAGTAAATTGAACAGTTGGTGCTCTTTAGGAGCTGAGAGAGTCCATCATACTGGAGAGGCATAACACACACACACACTGTTTTCCAGCAACAGTTCAGGGCAATACATGGCTGCATGCCAACATAACACAGAGTGGGATGAACAGTTATTCTCGACTAAACACAGTGGGGAGGGTATGACAGCGACAAAGCTTCACAGAGGATGTTTTGGTTCTTACTGCCTCCATGATTCAATGATTTGCCTAGAAAAAAAAGGCCATTAAAGAATTTCATCTAAAATTTGCTTCACATCTGAAGTACCAGGCTTATTTGTTTTTAAAGGAAATTAATTGTTTTTAACATTACAAGATTAGTTTCTAGTTGTGAGTAATTTCAGATTAATGTGCTGAATTAAAATATTTGGATGCCCTACATTCTTGCTTAATGATTTTGACAGTGCTGGGAAGTATAGTTTGCCCCTTCTGATGAGTCTCTGGAATAAATTAAGACCCTATCAAATCAGAAGACCTAACTTAGACTTTTAGCCAACCAACTTTCATTCATTACATAGGCTCAACAGCTGAGTTTACTTTTAAATGCAAAGCTATTGAACATGACATGATATACATCATCAGCCATTTGAGTCAAGTTGCGTACATTGGGCTTCACTATCCCTCATTCTTCTCTTGTAGTTATGTAGGATTATGGCAACTGTAAAATGTATTCAAGTTACTGTCACTAAATTAATGGAATTAAGCTATTTAATTTTGAAATTAAATTTGATTATTTTATAAAGATTCTTGCACTAAACACATTGTAAACTACATTTACAGGAACTACTACTGGGTGTTTAGTTTCAGGCTACAACATGTCTTTTTAAGATATTTTTTAAAGATTTTATTTATTTATCTTTAGAGGGGAAGGGAAGGAGAGAGGGATAGAAATATCATTGTATGGTTGCCTCTCGTGAGTCCCCTGCTGGGAACTGGCCTCCAACCCAGGCATGTGCCCTGATTGGGAATCGAACCACGAACCTTTGGTTCATAGGCCCACGCCTAATCCACTGAGCTACACCAGCCAGGGCCTAAGAGATTTTTAAGAAAACTTGGCCTTAACATGTTTCAGCTTTAAGATTCAGATTTCGGTTTTACCCAAACATACATTGAACTGTTTTTTTTCAAGAGACTGGAAGTGAAGTGTGCTTTGGTGAATACGTGCACACTACTAGAATGTGTGTGTGTGCTTGGGTGTGCAGTAGGGATGCTCTGTGCGGTGGGGAATAAGAGAAGCAATTGCTAAGCAAGGAGCAAAAGCATGTTCACTAATGTGAATTTTATATTCTCATTGAATTAAGTCATATGTGGGCTAGCTTATGGCATAGAATAAAACCATGCTATTGTACGTTAAAAGTTAATAACAAAATTTCAGGTACTATTTTACTTTCCCTCAGCTAGATTTTATGGTATTTTATTGAAATACAGGTTAGACGAGTATTAGTATCTTTTATAAATGTGTATATGGAGGTGCTAATTTTGGAAGAGTTTATTCAAAGCCAAATAGATTGGTTCACTTAGTGTTGTCATCTTCTGGCTAGTTACCTGATTGTCTCAGTTGCTCAAATGTGTTTTCATTCATTGTAATTGCTTTTGATGAATTATTTCTAAGGAATGGAATCAGATTGCTAGTAATCAGTGCAATTGAAATCACTAGTGCAATGAAGTCTGATCTGTGCCATTGTCTTTGCATGTGTTCACTTTCACAGGCAATTTTCATCTGGTCACTGGTGAAATTAGACAGACCCGATTATGGTAAAATTCCATATCCTGACTGGGGAGTTGCTCTAGGCTGGTGTATGATTATTTTCTGCATTATCTGGATTCCGATTATGGCTATTATAAAAATAATTCAAGCTAAAGGAAACATCTCTCAGGTAAGCACATTAAATCAAGATTATTTGTTCACCAGTCCAAGTCAAGTCCCCTCCATCACCACTTATCCCTCCTTTGCCCTCTCCTACCTTCCCCCACCCCCTTTCCTTCTGGTAATCACCATGCTCTTGTCTATGAGGGCTTTTGCATCCCTCCACCTTCTTCAACCTGCCCACCTAACCCCTCCCCTCTTACAGCTGTCAGTCTGTCTTCTCTATCCATCAGTCTGTTTCTATTTTGTTTTTCGCTTGTATACAGATGATGTACTACAGCAATGTACCTCTGAAACCTATATAATTTTGTTAACCAATATCACCCCATTAAATTCAACTTAAAATTAATATTATTTGTGCTTCACATAAGGCACTAGGGTTGAACCAAACATTAATTTACCCATCTGGTGGTAATATGAGATTATGACCATGAGACCAAATTAATCACTCTTTCCTCTGGGCTACTTTTACACCTGAGATGAACATTCACTACTCTGTGCATAACATTGTACTATGCTGTACACAGATTTGCGTGTCTCCCTGTACTAGACTATAAGCTCCTTTAAGAAGAAGTCTTGTCTTGCTTGTTGCTGTAGCCTCAGGCCCTGTTAGAGTGCTTAGCACATGACAGTTATTATATCTGTACTGGTACTAACTTGTTCTCAAAGATGATGCAATGCAGACGAGCTTTTTTTTTATATCTACAATCTTCACTTTTAAAACATGGTTACACACACACACACACACACACACACACAGGTGTCTTTATAATGCATTTCCTAATAGCATGTGTAGACTGAAAAAGCCTGCTAAATGACCTTGAACACAAACTAGATCCTAAGTCATCCTTCTTCCATGGAGGCCTAGGGGGATGGAGTTGGTTATCACACGTCACTAAGACAAAGGGCAATGGCAGGGTCAGCTCAGCAGTCAGATATTAAATAAATCTAAGCCCATTCAAGAAGGGATGTAGATCAGTTGTTTCAGCCTGGAGCTCCCTTTCTTTGGTTCTTGAAATTTCCCAGGTATACACTGATTTAGAGTCTCACCTAACTGTCACCCTGAGGATGGGCAAGGAAATCTGACATTCTACCCCTGGCTGGTGTGGCTCAGTGGATTGAACACTGGCCTGCAAACCAACTGGTCACCAGTACGATTCTCAGTCAGGGCACATGTCCGGCTTGCTGGCCAGGTCCCCAGTTGGGAGCGTGCAAGAGCCAACAGATCAATGTTTCTCTCTGTTCCTCCCTTCCCTCTCTCTAAAAATAAGTAAATAAAAAAATCTTAAAAAGAACTTTAAGACTCTAAAATAAAAATATAGCTTTATATTTATTTATTCACAAACTGTAGCACTTAATTTCTAAGACAGCATCTTTCCCATTTCAGCGCATTGTAAGCTGCTGCAGACCGGCTTCCAACTGGGGCCCATACTTGGAACAACACCGTGGGGAGAGATACAAAGACATGGCAGATCCGAAGAAAGAGACCGACCATGAAATACCTACGATCAGCAGCGGTGGGAAACCAGAAACCAGAACAAGTTCTAATTTTTAAGAATGTGTGCCTGTGCAATGTGATTACTTCAGAATAGAGAAAACTTTATTTATTTGTATGTTAACTGAACAAGAAATGTATATATTATATTCATAATAGCCTAACAACTATTTTTTCCCATTTAAGCAGGAATGTAATATAAAAATGTGAATCTACTAATTTTTATCAGTGTGCTTACTGTACTTCTTTTTAGATGATCTATCTGTATAATGCACACTATCTGCATTTCACAATAACATTCTTGTACATTTCAAAATTAAGTTTTTCTAATAGAGTGAAGGTCGAAATTTGAGCGAATTATATAGAAAATAGTTATATTTTCTATCATATGAGTTTTAAAATATCACTTACTTATATTTTATTGCTATATACTCTTTTCTCCATAAAGCTTGAGAAAACAAATCAGTATATTTAAAAGAATGTGTTAAAATTGAAGGCCTCAGTCAATTAGAAATGTTGTGCATATGTGAAAAAAACAGACTATGTATATAGCACACGGACTGTAGTTTAATACTTGCGATCTAAATGTCTAAAAACTTCATGTATTTGTGGTTCACTTTTCTTTATGAACTTACTAGTTATGTTCTTTATTTTCGTATATCAAAAAAGACAGAAAAATTAGGACCCTGTGGCCAGTAAGTGAGAAATCTAGAAAACCAGACGGAAACCAGAGTCTTTGAATACTTCTCCATATAACGTGTTTCCTAAGTTACATTTGGAAGGAACATCTGATCCATCTCGTTTGTACTGTTTCACAAAATTCAGAATAGTTCACTGTACTCTCTAAAATCTAGGTGTCGTTTCCAATAGACTATGGAACAAAATACTAAGGAAGAAATGACTTCAATCAAATTTAAAAATTTATGTTGTAATTCATAGTTAATAAATCAAGTGGAATCATTTTGTCTTATTTGAAGATGTTACTAGTTATGGTGACAACTTATTTACATACGTATAGGGGATAAACTTGTTAAACCTGTCAAGAGTGAGAGAAACCAAATTAGGAAGTCCTATGTCCCCATTTCCCTACAGAAGATAATGAAAACATTGTATCACTAATAGTTCTTTACACTGATTATATATTATTAAAAAACCAGAAAACTGTACTCGAACAACAATTAAATAAATTTAAAAATAAAGAAAGAAAACTGGTTGAAGCCTCACAGCCTAGAATGATGAACATGGCCTTGGTATGTGGGACACTTTTCAGTTATTCTTAATGTGTTTAATTTGGGCTTCAGAAACATAAGGAAGTAAAATTATATACAATATTTTTCTAGGTGTAGTTGTGCATGCCTTTTTTGAAGGAGAGTGTTTATAGTCTTTGGCAGCATATCACAGGGATCTGGGACTGAACAGTTTAAGAACCACACACACCAGTGCTAGCGTTTGTTCTTGGCAAGGAAGAAATGTGAAGAATAATGTTAAAGGTTCATTTCTAATACATTTTATATTTCTTTTCCTCTTTTTTTAGATTTAAGATTAAGGAGTAAGAGATTAAGGTATTTCTTTAATGTATCGTAATAATTTGTTTTGGGAGGAGTGAGCCTGAATGTAGGTAAACTGCTAGGGCTCTAATTGAACAATCTCAGCGAGGTATGTACACATACATAAGATGAGCTCATCTTAAATGTTCTGAGGCTATCCCGGGCTGGTGTGGCTCAGCAGATTGAATGCTGGCCTGCAAACCAAAGGGTCGAGGTTCGATTCCCAGTCAGAGCACATGCCTGGGTTGCAGGCCAGGTCCCCAGTAGGGGACACACGGGGGCAAACACACACTGATGTTTCTCTTCCTCTTTCTCCTTCCCTTCTCCTCTCTAAAAATAAACAAATACAGTCTTTAAAAAATATTTTGAGGGCAGATCAAATGCTGTTAGTGAACTTCAACAGATTGTTAATTCCTCAATTACACTGGAGTTTATAAAATATTATATGAAATAGATGGGTGACTACAACTAAGAAATACTTTTTTCCTTAATTTTAACCCATATTATATCACAGACATTCTACCATTATATTTTGATGCTATTGGGGGCGTGAATTTCTTACAAAGTAGTAAAATGCATGCAATTTTCTATAGGTGACTTGCAATGCAGGAAAGATTGAGATACATTTCTAATGAAATGCTCTCAAATTGGCAGTGGGAGGGGTGATCAGGAAGAGATTCCCTTTAAGAGCTCACTACCAGTGTGCGTAACCCCTCACAAAGGTGTGAGGCACAGACCTCAACAGAGTGCCTTCTGTACTTTAGGGCACTCACGAACAGCTCTTCCTATATTATTATACACAGATTCCACAGTGGTAAGAAAGACTGTTCTGCAAATGGAAAGTGTCTTACTGAATCTCATTGACTTTAATGCAAACTAGGAGACATCCAGTACAGCAGTGTAAACTGCTAATGAAAACCTTTTCTCACACTTGAGTCAAATTAAAATCACGACATGCCAACTAGATTTTTTCCACTGTAGCTTATTTTCAAAAGCTTTTGAATGATTTTTTTCTCTACTGTGTTTTCGTTCCTCCCCTGGTAAAATATATATTAGCAACATCTAATCCATTCTTTAACTGTGAGTATGCAAATGAATCATGTCTGGGTTTTGCATCTTACATGGCCTACCCTCCCTTCTAAACAATAATTAATTTGGGCCCTGGCTGGCATAGCTCAGTGTATTGAGCACGGACCTGCGAACCAGAGTATGGAGGTTCGATTCCCAGTCAGGGCACATGCCTGGGTTGCAGGCCAGTTCCCAGCAGGGGATGCATGAGAGGCAACCATACATTGATGTTTATCTCCCACTCTTTCTCCTTCCCTTCCCCCCTCTCGAAAAATAAATAAATAAAATATTTTTTAAAAATCTAAAAAAACAATAATTAATTTGGTATAAACACATATACTAGTCAAACGAACCCAGTCCAAGTGCATTTAATGATTGTGTATGCTGTCAATACATTCCGTCAGCCTGCCCAGGGGGTTTACGGTTCACTAGTGTGCCATTTAAACGCCTGGTGACTACCACATGTTCCCGTTCAGCGAGGTCGTATTCCACCACCCTGAGGTTTACCAGTACTAGTTTGTCGACAACCTCGGGGTGCGGGGAATTCATTAAGGTGTTCCGAGAGAGGCAGATGATTGTTAGGCCGTTATCAACATCCCTGTTAGCTGACTCAGTCTCAGAAGATGGTCTCACTGCTAGGAAAGCAGTCGAGTTTGATGACATTTCACCAGTGTGTCTCTGTAAGGAAAACAAATTACACATATGTAGTTTATTGCGTTTAGCAATTTACCAATACGACCAAATAACAACATGCGTAGTCTTGTTTATGAAAATAAACTGACTGTCCTCCCTTAAGACCTGCAGATTAAAAGTCTATCGAATGACTACACTGATTCGGAAATGTGCTCTTCCCAACCAGACTGAGGGGAAAATGTATGAAAGTGACCTTTTAATGCCAAATGCCGTATTCTCGCCTGACATTTCCTGGGCAGTGCGGTAGGTCTGTATTTGGGCCCTGTCTGACCCTAATCTAAAAGGACTTCATTTGCAAATTTAAATAGCACCAGGAATATCACATTTAGACCTGAATTGTTTGTGAATGCCCCTAAAGTGGTCATAAAGATCGGCGAAAAGGAAAACACAGAGGAGGAAGAGGCACACAGAAACAGAGGGGCAGTGGAAGCCAGAGAAGAAAAGTGAGAAGGTAGAGATTCTTTTTTACCAAAATCGAAAACATCGAATCTGACGAAACCAGAGACTTCCGCCAAGATGGAGGTATAGGTGGATGTGCCATGCCTTCTCACACAACCAAGTTTAGGGACAACTAAATAAGAGCATCAGAAAACACAACCAGAACACGGAAAATTGAACTTTTCGGAAGTCCGTTAACAACAAATTCTTCAGCCCGACCGGTAAGGGGCGAAACCGGCGACTGGTGAGGGGTTGCACAGGAGGGCTCCGGTCGGACGGACCCAGGCGCGGAATCCAGACGCGCGAATCCAGACGCACGGGTTCCAAACCCAGGATTGGACCTAGTGAGCAACCGAGCAACCCACCGGGTGAGCGACTGCTGAGGAGAGAGTGGGGAGGCGGTGCTGCGTGTTGACTGCGGTTGCCTATCTGCGGGCGAGCGGACAGGCAAGGGAGTGGGCGGTTGGACCAGGGCCGGCGGTCCCCGTGGCCTGCGGCAGTAGAGGGCGCTGCCATTTCCCGGCTCTGACCACGCCCCCACATACAGCGTCACAACCCAGCGACCTGGGAGTCCAAGGCGCCACTTCTCACATTTAAAGGGCCAGAACAGACCAAAAATGTCGCAGGAAGACCTCAAAGCCCCAGAGATAAATCTAAGCGACGAAGAAATAGCAAAACTCTCAGACGCACAGTTTAAAACACTGGTCATCAGGATCCTAACAGATCTGGTTGATTATAGCCACAAATTAGAGAAACATATGAAGGCTAAACTAAGGGAAATATATGGAATTCCACAGGAAACCCATAGAGATGAAAAGGAAACTGGGACTCAAATTAATGGAGTGGACCAGAAGAAAGCAAATAATGGCCAAACAGAAAAGACTGAAGAAGCAAGAATTCAAAGAAATGAGGAGAGTCTTAGGAACCTCCAGGACATCTTTAAACGCTCCAACATCCGAATTATAGGGGTACCAGAAGTGGGAAAGGAACAGCCACCAGTGGAAAACTTATTTGAACAAATAATAAAAGAAAATTTCCCCAATCTGGCAAAGGAAATAGACTTCCAAGAAATCCAAGAAGCTCAGAGAGTACCAAAAAAGTTGGACTCAAGAAGAAACACACCAAGGCACATCATAATTACATTAGCCAAAATTAAAATGAAGGAGAGAATCCTAGAAGCAGCAAGAGCTAAGGGGACAATCACCTACAAAGGAGTCCCCATCAGACTGTCAGCAGATTTCTCAAAAGAGACCTTACAGGCAAGAAGGGGCTGGAAAGAAATATTCCAAGTCATGAAATCTAAAGACCTACAAC